ATACAGTAGCCCCAAGGAATGGACTAGGCACAGAGGTGGTGTCATGCAGGCCTGTGTGAGTGTTATGTAGCTATTCTAGAGCAAGCCTGCCTGCCTTGCCTGCAGGTGATGGCCTCAGGTCCCTGCCCTTAGGAAGTTTGAGTAAACCTACAAATGAGGCCAGAGTCCCTGGGAGCCGGAATTACCCTGTGGGAACACAGTCGCGGAGTGCTGCTTTTTTAGACCTACCATCTATTGAATAGCATTTATGTATTAAGGGCAGGGTGGAATAGTTGAAGTTCATATTTCCAAGAATATGTGCTAAAAATAGTTTGTGGAAGACTCACCATTTTATTTGTAATTTACTTTCATTTTGAAAGTTGTTTTTACATCTTTCATTTTAAAACTATTTTTGTATAATTTTGAAGAGTGATACTACAATTATTTAATTTCAACATTAGCTATAGAATAAAGTGAAAGAAATAAAGCAACAAGGTAATAAATAACTCTTTAGTAAATAGTAACAAAGCTATAAATTAGTGCTGATAAGAATAGCAAATGTTACTGAATTCCATCTACGGGAAGTATAGATTTATTCATGCATTTCTATATAAAACACACACTATTTTTTCATTTGCCAGCTTATTGAGAATTTTCTTATCTTTTTAAAGTAAAAATGTTATGTTCTGAAACAATTCTTCCATTGTCTTTAAGAACTATCTTCGTATTGCTTGTGTTCTGAATTTTTAAGCTTCCTAAACAGCACTGGAATTTGTTATTCTGGAATGAATTTTTCAGTGATGTTAAAAATTGTCATTTTTGAGATTATCCTCCTTATATTCTGAGAACAAGTCGTATAAAAACAGTCTTTAAAACCAATCTCTTAAGCCAGGCATGGTGGTGCAGTTTTTAGTGCCTGAACTCAGGAAGCTGAGGTAGGAAATCACTTGAGCTCAAGAGATCGAATCCACCCTGGACACCATAGTAAAACCTCCTGTCAAAAAATAAAGCCTGTCTTGCTTTGGAGTGACAGGAATGTACCACTGCTTACTCATCAGTAACAACTGTAGGGCCAAATGGGGCATGATATTTGTATTCAGAGAACCTTTGGCTCTGTGTTTTTCTAACATTTCATGTGAAAAATATCAGCACCAATTCATGAAAAATATCATGAATGATATGTAGAACAAAAAATACATGATTGGTGTTAATTCTGATTGGTGTTGAAAATTCAGAAAATGATGAAACAACTCATGTTTTTCCACATCTCTTGAAAACAGATTTCATGATTATGCTGATACTTGAAACTAGTGTGTGCTATTAACTTATGTTTTCAAATAACATTAGCAGTTTTGAAGCATTGGATCAATTCTCCCATTTCAGGGAATGTGAACAATTGTGCACCTTATGTTTAATCAAAAACTCAATCTTGTCTTCTTTCGCCCTGCTAAGGTTATTGTTATTTAGTATGCATCAATAAATAAACTTTCAATTATCTTGGTAAATGCATCCAAAAATAGTCTGAGAATCAAAAGGCAATGGTGTATCCAGTAATTATTCCAAATAAATAATTCTGATAAATAGATCTTTGCTTAATTTCAGATGAAATAGAAAGCTTATGAAATTTAATTAGTTTTGCTAGAGTTAAACTATGCAGAAATACCATGAAAATGAACTTTCTATTTTATTTAAAGTGTATACTTCTGTCTTATATATTGATATAACTTAGTAAAAATAACTTAGTCATCTGTACATTTTGTTCATAAATGACTAAATTACAAGAAAGTATTATTGAAACCAGTATAGGTTTCTATCTCCCCCCACTTTCTAAAAAATTGATAAATCAAAAGTAGTATCCCTTTTTTCTTTTTCTTTTTCATTCTATCCTGGGATTGAACCCCGGACCTTCACATTAAACTACATCACCAGCCTTTTGTTTTGTCTTTTGAGACAGGGTGTATAAATTGCTCAGGTTGGCCTTGAACTTGTGATCCTCCTACTTTAGCCTCTAGAGTGCTGGGATTATTTGTACATTATACCCTATTTAAAGCAATTGTTTTTCTCATTAAAAAATAACTAAATGTTCTATCTTGTTTGTTCTCTTTATGTGTTAACTAATGCAAACATTATTTAGTTCAGCTAATTGAAAAGCAGCTATTTTTTAGAGTGAGTTTGTGTGTGTTTCTGTATATTTGTTCTGCTAAGTTTCATTGCTTTTGATTTCTAAATTACTATCTGAACCCTTGCTTCAAGAAACATACTCATGTTTTTTCTGTATCAACCTAATAAAATACCTAATCAGAACATGTGCGTTCTTTCTCTAGTCAGTGTTTTGATAATGTCTTAAGAAAAAAAAAATCCTAATAGAAATTCCCTAGAAATAATTTACAGGACTAATGAATTTATAGGTCATTTAGACAGTTCTACATTACTGTCACATTAATATTCTCTCCTTTTTATAAGGCTTGAAGTAAATCCCTTGGCACTAGAAGAATTTAGATACTGATTACTTGCGATTGGTTCCTGGTGATTTGCTCTTAATAATTTCTAGTTGAATTTAATGAAAGTGTGATTCCTGAAATGCTGCTTCATTAAAATTGCATCTTTTCCCCTTTTAATTGTGGTTTTGGTCATTTTCACCCATTTTGCAGTGTTTTTTCCTCCCCTTTAAATAGCGATGCTGGAGAAAGCAGAAACGATTAAAAATACCCCTTCAGTTCTTCCTTGGACTCATGCTAAACATGACTCTGAAAGAAATGCTACGAGGTGCATTTCCTCAGAATTCGCAGTACTATTTTCCACTTGGAAGGGAATATTCTCAAATAAAGTTTTGAAACAAACATATAAAGATTTGTGGTAGCTGAGGGAAGGAAGAAAACGATGTGTTGCATATACAAGAGAAACATTGGCTTTGGCAATTTTAATAAATATGCGTATGTATATGAAGGTTGACTAAGTTCTACTGTGCAGCTTTCAGACTTTATTTAACTGAGTGGATGATTTGCAAATGAATATCTACATGGATCCTTTTTAAAAATCCAAATGCAAATGAGTACAACTGCAGTAAAATATATTTGCAAATGAATCCTGTTGCTTTATTCATTTATTGTGTAATTACTGCAATCCTTCCCACCTTGTTTTCAGTATTTCTTAATCATTAAGTCGGAAGCATGACAGCAGTGCCAGCCCTGGCATGATTCTCTTTGACTAAAACCTTGTAAATTAACACAATTAGCACAGCATCATCCTGCTAATTAACTTCCAGTGTCTGGTGCAGTGGTTTTGCAAACAAGGAAGAGGGAGTCAGAAGGGAATCAACATGCCATTCTGTTACCAAACTGTGTGCTGTGTTCAGTTTAGCTCAGTGAGTCGACGCTGGCCATGTCAGAAGCCTGAGTCAGGCGGTGAGGAGCTAAAGGGGCTGGGGGAGGAGAACAGAGCGGGTAGAAGCTGTCAACGTAGACCGGTAATTCAGAAGGGAGCCAATGCCACAGACGCTTCATTTAGACCAGGCCTCCTCCGTAGCCTCCTCCGTAGCAAGGAATCTCTGCCAGAGGGCACAAGACAGTTTGCAAAATTCACTTTGGGTAATACAAAAGAGATTAAGGAGGCCTGCTTAATATAGCTGTACCAGAATAGGAAACGCTCAGACCAGGCAAAGATTAGAATGGGAGGCTCCCGCACTGGGAAATCACGCAGGGTTCCAGTGCTCGTCTGTAACTAACTGCACGTGAGACCTGGAGGGCTCTGAGGGGCTCTCTGTGGGCCCTGCTTCCCTAATCTGTGAAATGAGATAATTTCGAAGGTCTTGTTTCTGTTTTAAATTCGAATGATTCCCTTGATTTTAACTCTCTAGAATGTTCTCTTAAATGAGAAAATACTTGTTTTATAGTTTGCTAAATAATCACCTTGCTTCAACGAGGCATCTAGTAGATGATATAATTACCCATATGATTGTATTAGCTAGTCGCAATTTCTGCCACACACTGCTTCCTCAGGAAATGTAAAGAATCCAGAGTCTCCCTTCATTCTTACCTTCTACTTCCCTGTCCTCTTTTGTGTGGTTGGGTTTGGTGTGGTGGTGGTGGTGGTGGTGGTGGTGGTGGTGGTGGTGGTGTGTGTGTGTGTGTGTGTAGTTCTCTCTTCACCTCTAGTACCTTGGAGGCCACAAAGGGAGGGGAAATTATAAGAAGAAGGCAGAGTGCTAGAAGACCCACAGACAAGTGATGCTTGTTTCTTTTTTTCAGAAACTCAACAACAGAACTGAGAGGCAGAAAGGAGCCAGTTGTAATTCATACCGAGTTGTAGGCTTTGTACGATGAAAGCGATGGAGCGCTGCCTGGGAGATTGCTTTGCTGCACTCCACGAAGCAGATTTGAAACTGTCGTGGACCACTTTAGATGAGAGTTGGATTATGGAATGACCTGCTATGTCTGTGTCATATTGTTCTGCGCAGGGAGCATAATACTGTGCTAACTAGGTGTTCAGTACCGAATAAGAGAGGTTTCCTAGATGTGATCTGTCAGCTGTGTCTCATTTTTGTATTGTTATAATATAAAACAGAAACTGTGATGTGGAGAGACAGAATAGCTTTATAGTGTACATGTTAATATTTTCACATGCCAGCTATTTAAAATCCATGCATATTTTATTGTGAGAAACTGATGGAATTGACAGGAATGTGTGTGTACATATATATGTGCTGGTGCACGGATAGTCACTAACTTGATGGGCTTGACAGAAATAGATTTGCTTATTACTCAAAAATGGAAAAAAATGGGACTTCTCCAGAGTTTTCTTTTATATTCAGTTTATATTTTATACTGTATAGGGTGAAATTTAGTGCATTTTGAAGAGTTTATATTATTGAGACCATAGTACATACTGTGAGTGATTCCCTTACAGTGTGGATGCTACTGATGGAAGCTAAGGTATGGCCAAAAAGTTAGGAGAAAAACTTAAGATTCTTATGAATATGTGAATAAATTAACTGCTGTCCCCCTCCCCCCGAAAACCCTTAGGCTTGAAGATGCAGTGGACGCCGGAGCACGCCCAGTGGCCAGAACAGCACTTTGACATCACCTCCACCACGCGGTCTCCCGCCCACAAAGTGGAAGCCTACAGAGGCCACTTGCAGCGCACCTACCAGTACGCCTGGGCGAATGATGACATATCTGCCCTGACTGCGTCCAATCTCCTAAAGAAATATGCAGAGAAGTATTCTGGCATTCTGGAAGGTCCTGTGGACCGACCTGTGCTCAGCAGCTACTCGGATACACCATCAGGACTAGTGAATGGCCGGAAGAATGAAAGTGAGCCCTGGCAGCCTTCCTTGAATTCCGAGGCCGTGTACCCCATGAACTGTGTCCCGGATGTTATCACTGCCAGCAAAGCTGGAGTCAGTTCAGCCCTCCCTCCAGCAGATGTCTCTGCGAGTATAGGGAGCTCTCCTGGGGTGGCCAGCAACCTGACTGAACCTAGCTATTCAAGTAGTACCTGTGGAAGCCACACCGTTCCCACTCTTCATGCAGGGCTCCCATCTCAGGAATATGCCCCAGGATACAACGGGTCATATTTGCATTCTACTTACAGTAGCCAGCCAGCACCCGCACTTCCTTCACCTCATCCATCCCCTTTGCATAGTTCTGGGCTCCTACAGCCACCACCACCACCTCCTCCGCCACCAGCCCTGGTCCCAGGCTACAATGGGACTTCTAACCTCTCCAGTTACAGCTATCCCTCTGCTAGCTATCCTCCTCAGACTGCTGTGGGGTCTGGGTACAGCCCTGGAGGTGCGCCCCCTCCCCCTTCAGCATACCTGCCTTCAGGAATTCCTGCTCCAACCCCCTTGCCCCCCACTACCGTTCCTGGCTACACTTACCAAGGTCATGGTTTAACACCTATTGCACCCTCGGCTCTGACAAACAGTTCTGCAAGTTCGCTCAAAAGGAAAGCTTTCTACATGGCAGGGCAAGGAGACATGGACTCCAGTTATGGAAATTACAGCTATGGCCAACAGAGATCTACACAGAGTCCTATGTACAGGATGCCGGACAACAGCATTTCAAACACAAATCGGGGAAATGGCTTTGACAGAAGTGCTGAAACATCATCCTTAGCATTTAAGCCAACGAAGCAGCTAATGTCCTCAGAACAGCAAAGGAAATTCAGCAGCCAGTCCAACAGGGCGCTGACCCCTCCTTCCTACAGTACTGCTAAAAATTCGCTGGGCTCCAGATCCGGCGAGTCCTTCGGGAAGTACACATCGCCCGTGATGAGCGAGCACGGGGAGGAGCACAGGCAGCTCCTCTCTCACACAATGCAAGGCCCTGGACTCCGTGCAGCTACCTCATCCAACCACTCTGTGGACGAACAACTGAAGAATACTGACACGCACCTCATTGACCTGGTAACCAATGAGATTATCACCCAAGGACCTCCGGTGGACTGGAATGACATTGCCGGTCTTGACCTGGTGAAGGCTGTCATCAAAGAGGAGGTTCTGTGGCCAGTGTTGAGGTCAGATGCGTTTAGCGGACTGACGGCCTTACCTCGGAGCATCCTTTTCTTCGGACCTCGGGGAACAGGCAAAACGTTATTGGGAAGATGCATAGCTAGTCAGCTGGGGGCCACGTTTTTCAAAATTGCTGGTTCTGGACTAGTCGCCAAGTGGTTAGGAGAAGCGGAGAAAATCATCCATGCCTCGTTTCTCGTGGCCAGGTGTCGCCAGCCCTCGGTGATTTTTGTCAGTGACATTGACATGCTTCTTGCCTCTCAAGTGAGTGAGGAACACAGTCCAGTCAGTCGGATGAGAACCGAATTTCTGATGCAGCTGGACACTGTACTGACTTCGGCTGAGGACCAAATCGTAGTAATTTGTGCCACCAGTAAACCAGAAGAAATAGATGAATCTCTTCGGAGGTACTTCATGAAACGACTTTTAATCCCACTTCCTGACAGCACAGCGAGGCACCAGATAATAGTACAACTGCTCTCACAGCACAATTACTGTCTCAATGACAAGGAGTTTGCACTGCTCGTCCAGCGCACAGAAGGCTTTTCTGGACTAGACGTGGCTCATTTGTGTCAGGAAGCAGCGGTGGGCCCCCTCCACGCCATACCAGCCACAGACCTTTCAGCCATTATGCCCAGCCAGTTGCGGCCCATTACATATCAAGACTTTGAAAATGCTTTCTGCAAGATTCAGCCTAGCATATCTCAAAAAGAGCTTGATATGTATGTTGAATGGAACAAAATGTTTGGTTGCAGCCAGTGATAACATCTTAACAAATGTGATGAATGTTGGCACACACATAAAACCTGCTACATAGGGAATAGAGCCCCTTTCCAGTAGTGTTTAAATTGCAAAGGGTACTGGGGAAAACAACAATTAAGTTGCATCTTCAGAGTCAGGGCAGACGTGGAGAAAAAGTGCATCACGTGAGAGCTTCCGGTGGGAGAGCCCCAGATGACAGAAAGCATGTGTGGATGCTCAGTTCAGTTCAATCTAGACAACACTCGCCAAGGAGCAAGGTGCAAGTGTGTTGATTTCAGAAGGACATGAACCTCGTGTGTTGATTCCATTCTGCTGTTCTCGAGATTTAGTTGCTGTCAAGTGCCTGGAGTGGTGCTTTATTTTTTGTTTGCCTCACAATTACATTGGTGGCATGTGCTAATATAAAGAGCTTTAACTTCAAACATTATTGGACTAAAGAGATGAACGGTTGTGTTACGACAGAAAACCAGATTTTTGCCATTTTAAGAGCAACAGTATTCCTCAATCCTGTCTGTTCTGCAGTATTAAGCTAAGAACAGGTAAAACAGGGTAACGGTAATCTGGACCTTAATTTCTGCAGTTCATTTCTTTTAATGTTCTTGTCTGCAAAAACTCAGGAAAGTGATTGTGATTTGTACAGTACCTCAAAGGAATGTGTTGAAAGCACTATGTACTGCTGAGAGTAACAGGTTAGGCGTCAATGTTACTTTATATTAAAATGTATGTTTACCTCAACAATTGGAAATAGCAAGAAAAATTTCTTTGAATGTATCCAGAAAAAATACTGAAGTGTGATACAACTGAATAGTTACAATTTAAAGTAGAAATGGAAGGATTTTTAAAAAGTTCTTTTACTAATTATGGGGAATTAACCAGAGCAGAATAAGTCTTTATGTCAGTAACTGCAAGAGTTCTTAGTTCATTGCTCCTTGCTAATTAAGTGAAAATGTTCTTAAAAGGTACACTGGTTAATGGAAAGCTACTTACTCAGTTTGTGTTAGTGTCTAGAACAGTCAGCCACAGACCTGGTTAGGACCCTGAGAGTCAAGTCACAGTACCTAAAAACTATGACTGCCTTTTACTGCATAGGTGGCGGTGATGGTGGCGGTGGTGGTGGTGGTGGTAGCGGCGGTGGCGGTGGCGGTGGTGGCGGCGGTGGTGGTGGTGGTAGTTTGCAAGTTATCTCTTAAACTGCTGGGAATGGTGTCATTCTATTCACTAATCTAGTTTATAGGCTTGCTGTGCTGTTTGGTAGAATGCAGAAGATAGCAACAAAACACATACACACACACACACACATGCACGCACGCACGCACACACGCAAGTAAAGCAACCATTCAAAAATCTGTACATTGTACTTCCCCCTTTGACTCCTCTCTTATCAGTGCAATTTTGCTTCTCATTTTGAAATCTGGGCTGTAGTGTTCCTGCATTCATTTCTACCTCAGTTTTGTTTCATTTCTCTTAGAAAGTCAGATAGAAAATTGGAAGTGGACACCACACACCACAATACAGCTTTGCCAAACATATCACTTTGGTCTCTTCCACCTTTCTGCAGAAATCTTGTTTCCCCAAACTCAGTCTCTATGCTTGCTTCCACCTCAGTCCATGCCCTATAGCATATGTGGCAGTTTCTTACTTCCCTTTTCCTGGCCTGCTTCCCCCAAGTTGTTCTTTGTATCCTTCAATGCTTTATGTACAGCTCCTCACGAAAGCTGGCTGCTCTCCCACGCCTCTGAACAGTCACAGGGCAGGCTGTAGCTTTCTGAAGCCACTGCCTATGCATAAGCAAAACAGCCTAGCATTTTGAATGTATTTTTTCTGTTTTTTTTTTCTTCTTTTTAGTTTAGAGCTACAGTAACAAAACTGTTGCAAAGCACTGGCATTATATGTATTCAAATAAGTGATGTACATTTAAAAAAAATTAAATAAATGTAATGAGAAGCCCCAAGAAAAGTCTTTCTGTTATTTTTTTTTCTTCAAAAATTTTTTTCTGAGCTCATCCACAACATCAAATTCTCTGGAATACTTCACATAGAGAAAGTTAAGGAGGGACTTCATATTTTTTAAATTGTATGATGTATGATCATTACTGCTCTTTTATTCATGTTAATAAATAATGAGCAAATATACCAGATTTTAATTTGCTATGATATTCCATCAACTTAATCCGGTCAGATAGGAATATTCCATATTAAAAAGCAGTGCCTTTCATTAAGGATACAAAAAATAATACTTCAGTGTCTCCTCTGCTTTTCACAAGTGAATAAATGCTGCGGGCCTGTTCTGTGCATCCCTGTTTGTAAGGAAATTCTAATATCCGCATTAACTTGTAGGTTCATGTTGATCTCACTGACAAGTTTACTTTTGCACAGTGCTGACCTATTTTCTGTCTTTTACACGTTGCATCTCATTTCTGCCAGTGTGCTGTATTCACCTGAAAGCATCTGGCAGGTTTTGTGGAACCCAGGCTTATTTAGACAGCTTTGGAAAGTTCCACGTCAACCCCCATTTCCGTGGCTAGTGAGACTTAATGCCAAATATATGACTGCTTTGTGGTTTTTCACACTCATTTGTCACGCTGACAATACATTGAAGTCATACATACTGGCTTTAGCTTTACATGGCTTAAAAATTAGTTTGAGATGTGAGTGGTCAAAAATCAGTGTATACTTACCAGAAGCTGAAGCTGTGTGTGATTTTCATGTAGCCTCAGGAGTTGTAGAACGTAATCTCTTAGGAAATGAGGCATGTTGAAGAAATGAAGACCTGTTGGAGGAATTAGGGCTGATCTTTGGAAGGATAGTTCTCTCCTGTGGCTCTTCGGTTGTACATGGCAGCGTAGGAGCTCGTCTGTGGACTAGCCCAAGAGTGAGCTCTTTTCTGACCATCTACCTTGGGGCTTGCAGCAGGGCGGGGGCTACCGCATCCTCAGAATCTGTGTGTACAATCAGTGATAGGACAACTAAGTTATCAGGCTTCATCTTGTTGACCTCCCTTTAACTAGTAAGAATTTCAAGAGGACTCCTAATAAAGGTAAGGTAAACAGTCAGCCCGAATCCCTTGGCTGTCCGGCCAGAAGATTCAACCAGTCTGTTTAATAGCACCTCATTCTCATCTTCACAACTGTAATGACATTTCCACAGGAACGAAAAGAAGGAAGTGAGAGTAACTACTTCAGGAGAAGAATCAATAGAAATTCAGGAGGTAGTTTATAATGACCCAATATGTGACACAAATAGAAACACTACACTTCTGGCATGCTTCTCTCCAAAATATTTAGATCATTAGCGACAATATGGAAAACTTTGCTGACTGAGGTGATCAATGGAATGTGAAGGCAGTATACTTTAAGGCTATTTACTTTCACACAGAATGTGTATCTATTAGTCAGTTTGTATTCTACTCAAATGCAGATAGACGGGTATAATGTTTTCTTGTGCATTTGAAACCTATCAAGGAGAAAATAAACCATTTCACTAAAATACATAGGCCAAACACCATCTGGGCAAGTGATAAAAGCTATCCAGAGGCTATGCTATGTATAATAGTAAGGTCAATTTACATGGGTTGCATAGTACTTGGCTATGCAGTTCTCAAAAGAATACATCCAAAAAAAAAAATCCAAATTAATTCCTACAGTAGGTCATTATAAATTTATATTGGTGGGTTCAAAAGTATGTTTTAGAAGTACTTAGAATCTCTTTCTCTGAAAACTTATCCAACTTCAAGCAGAAAGATGTTTATGATCCAGCTCTCATATTTCTTAGCAAGAATCGGGCATCATAAGCATTGAATCTGCATTTTGCAAAATGAAAGGGATACAGTTTGTTGAACTATTAAGGCCACTAAAGTAAAGTTCTAATATATATATACATATATATATAAATATATATAAATATAATTAGCGTGTGTGTTTGTGTGTGTGTGCTGTTCTCACCACCGCCTCTTCGAACTTTCAAACAAATATTATTTTACATTATTCAGAATCCACCAGTTACTTCCTTTCTCTCTATGTGCAGAGATACACACAACCTCTTTACAATTCAGTGTTTTACTGTGGTTTTTGTCTCATGAAACATGAAGTCTTCAGTTGTTGAATCATCTGCCAGGTTTTCCATGAAGCACATTAGCAAGCGTGGAGCTATTAGTATTTCAGAATTCACAACCAGCTGTGCTTGTGACTAACCAACACGTGAACTGAGGCTCACACTCTGCTAAGACCTTTGGTTGACATTCGATTTTGAACCTGCCAGATGCATTTGTGTGAACCAGGGATACTGCATCTTTAATGAACAAGTCTCTCCTCTTTCCTCTGTTTTTAAATACAACACAAGCAGTGTAGCACTAGGCACTGCAATTGTCAAAGACAATTAGACTGAAAGCAGGAAAATTTCACCTCCCTGTCTCAGTGATATGTAGAATGTCGGCAGCATGGGTCAGCTTTGCCACAAGAGTGGTGTGAGAATATATGAATCAGTCCTATAGAATGTTAAATATTTATAAAATGGATCTGTAGTACACCAAGGTTGGGAGCACATTCATTCTTTCTTGTTGTTTTATACAAAAAGAGCAAAAGTTTATTTCCAGGCTTTAAAACTCTCTCTCTCTCTCTCTCTCTCTCTCTCTCTCTCTCTCTCT